GAATGATAAGGTTAATGGTGTGAGAGAGGAGGAACAAGAAGAAGTTGTTAAAATAAATTAAAGATTCGTTTAGTTTTTATTGTTTATGATTTATGGTGTGTGTTATATATAATCTTTATATGATTGTATGTATGTAATTAGATTTATTATATATTTTTTATGGATTTTGGATTTAGGAAGTAGAGGATTATATTAGTAGGTGTGCTTGTTAGTATTCTTCTTCTTCTTAAAAAAGCCATTGTTGGTGTGTATTGATATTTTGGTTAAAGATAATCAAAATGTTCAAAACGGCAGTTTATGTTATGAATGAACTTGTGTTTGAGAAATGAACTTAGACTAGAACCATTGTGTTGTGATTTTTACTCCAAGTGGAGCCATCCACAACCATTCACGTGGCTATGATTCCTCCATCTCTTTCTTTTAACCTCTCAATCACAGCTGAGTCTCACCCTTTAAAATGTCATTCGATTATATTTTACTATCTAACTATATATATATATATATATATATATATATATATATATATATATATATATTAAAAGGCCTAAATGAGAGCATTTCAGCATGTCTACGTGTGATTTTTTAAACAACCAATCGGATTGCTCTAATCGTACACATTATCTGCTTTTGTTCCGTTTGGGCTTTGATTTAATTGGTTATGGGCTTGGTTTTTTTTTCCGGCCTGAAAACCCATTTGATGAGAGGATGCGGCTTCATCAACTATAGAGACGTAAACCCTAATTTTTCGATCTCCTCTCATCTCATCGCGATTCATCTTCTCTTTATCTCTTTGAATCCTCTCTTCACAGAACGTTACGATCCATCAATAATTCACATTCAATGGAGCTTTTCCATCTTCCTCTACATCTAATCCCCTATAAATGTCACGGCTTATTTTCTCGATCCATCTTACCTCTCAAACTTTACTTCAAATATCGAATCGATGGAATCCAAAGCAAAATCTGCAAACTCCGGTGATTTCATGTCCGATAAGAGATTGGTGTTAATGGACGCCTTTCGAAAGCACCGTCCTATTCAGGTGATACAATTGTGTTATTTTAAGCTCTGTTTCTGCGTTTTGATCGGTTGTGTAGTGAATTTTTTGACAATAGTGTGCTGTTTGGTGTAGGGGATTTGAAGAGAACAGTGACATGAATCAAATCAACACCGATCTTCGTAGTCATAAGGTGTTAGACATTTTCAGATTGTGTTGTCATTTGTTTTAGTTGAGTTTGGCTCTATTTTGTGTTATAATTTTCTGCATTTCGTTCAGATTTGTGATCTTAAGTAGTTTCCATTATCAGAGATGAGCAACGGTTCGGATTACATTACATATCACACTTTTACTTGACGATGGTGGTTGTTTTTTTAAAGATGTGTTGGTATTTCTGGGATACTCGGGAGCAGTTTCGGATCAATGGAAGGGTTTAGGTCATTGACGCCTCAAATTCTGACCGGACCAAGCTTCAGGTCGGAGATAAATAACTTAGTTTAACAACTGAGAGAAGAAAGAAAGATTTTTTATTTTTTTCCCTGGCTGTGTTGATTTGGCTTCTTGATGTAGCTAAGAGAGGAAGGCTTGGTTTGCTAATTCTCTAAACTCAAGGTTGATGTACATCTGTCATGCGCCTGGTACCCCTTGCAACAGAAAGCAACCAAATCAAGAAGTTAAGTTAGATCCGTTAAGTGGTACATGTGCTAATTACTCTCTGCTGCTTTAGAGGCAGAAAAGGTTTTTTTATTTTATTTTTTTTAAAAAATCATTCTTCTATATGTAGAAGCTAGCAGATGGTTTCATTAGTGGTTCTCTTGATGACATGTTGATTACTTGAATCTGAAGAAAGTAATCTGAGGCTTTTGTTTTCGTTATGATTAGTGGAACAAGGAGAAGTGTTGGACTTCTGAAAAGGTTAAACCATGATTATGTTTTAAAACAACTGAGATGATAACTAAAGTATTTCTTATTTGTGTGGTAGATACGTTGACAATAAATATTTATGTTTTCATCGTTGCTTTTGGCCATTTTCTTTTTCATTCTGGTGATCTTCATACCTACATGTCCAACTCCATCGACCAGGTCAGTATAGCTCTATCATATTTTCTTAAAAACATTCTCCATGTGAAATCAAGAACATTTATATATATGTGTGGGAACCGTAGCTCAAATGGAAAGCAATGATGTTGTGGAAATGGCTTGGGGGCTCTGTAATAGCGACCAACCTTTTCTATGGATCATTCTACCATGTTTCTATCCTAGGATCAGACGGGACAGAGACATTGCTTAATGAAGTCGGTACAATTGTCTCAGAAAGAGGATATATGAAACGTGGACAGCATATAGAAGTACTAAGACATCTTGCAGTTGGAGGCTTCTAGAGCCACTGTGGATGGATCTCAACACTAAAGAGCATTGTGAAAGGAGTTCCACTAATTTGTAGGGCTTTCCAAACTAGCAAAAAGTAAACGCAGCGTACGTAGTTAGTGTTTGGGAAACATGGATTCAGCTGGAAGGTGAAGTAGAAAGAGGAAAGGTTGAGAGAGCTGTGAAGAGGATGGTTGTCGATTAAGAAGGTGCAGATATTATGGAGAGAGCATTAGTTTTAAAAGAAAAGTTCAAAGCCTTTTCACAGTGGGGGATCCTCATACAATACTTTGGATCAGGTCGTTACCTGTTGGGCAATGTCGCAGGTGGGTTGTCTGAAACGGAGAAGCAGAAAATTCAAGGCCTTGGCTTTAGTTATGGATTGCCTCCGGTTCAGCTAGAGACGCAGGATGATGATGAGTTCTTCGATCTGAGTTTCTTGAATCTGCAAAACTGAGACTCTATAGTTTTTAATGATGTAGAGAATCTCACAAGACTGTTAAAATGGAACTGTATATAGATAGATGTTGTTTCATATATAACAATATTGTTTACAGATCCATAAAACTTAGTACTCTGTTTATCTTTCATTTTTTCTGATATATTCTTTCTTTTGAGCTAAACATGAAGCTCAGAAATTTATATGTTTGTACTAGAGCTTTAGTGTGTGTGGAACTTGATGTGCGTTAATGTATGTCAATGGATAATAATGGCCCTATATCTATGATTAGGAGTTACATGATAAGAATTGGTTTTACAGACTACCCTTAACATAAAAGCATCTGTGGTAAAGCTACAAAGATGAAGAGGTACTAATGCTTGGTCGAGTAATAACTCAAACCTTCGACAAAGAGAACACGATTCATGTATTCACTAAGAAAAATATTATAATACGAAATATGGAATATAACACAAAGCTTTCTGTAAATTTTATTTAAGTATTACACCATATATCTAATTGACAAATGTTAGAAGAATGAGCAACATTAACCCATTCAGAAGCTAAATAAAAAGACAAACGATATAGAAGACTAATGGCAAATTCAAAAAGCAACAATACCAGTAAAAAGACCCAGCCTATCATTTGTGTTATTATTTTTGATATTTTAAGATTTCTTGATTCTAAATTTATGAAATTGATTTAAATATACACAAAAAATGATTTAAAAAAATTATAAGGCATAAGCCATTGAAAAACAATAAATTTATGAACTTGAAAAAAAAAAGTTAAGATGACAATAATTTTTTTAATGGTTAAACAATGGCTAAACGGGTACCCGTTTATTTTAACGCGTATGCCTATTAACGAAACCGGCTTAATAAGTCCGTTTATTTTTATATGATAATAAACGGGTCAAAGATCCCCCATTTTTGTACTAAGTCTGTTTAGGTATGCAGGCTTCAAACCCATTTTAATGTTCCTAGTGCAGACCTAGTGCAGACCTAGTGCATGGTTTTAAGTCAAACAAATGGAATGGTTTAAAGAAAAGTTAGTATTGCTACTAGAAATGAGTATGTGTTTAGCTGTCACACCACTGTCCAAGCAAGTAATGTCTCATGTTTTGCTAGTTGTCATGAACTATTATGATGATTATGGAGAAGCTCTCTACAACAAATGTCTCAGGTTTTGCGGTGTTAACAAAGTACAAGGAAGATGAGAAATTAAAATCTGATTCCATTTAGTATTGAAGGGATATGCTATTTTATTTGGTACAGATAATCAGAGAGATGCATTCTTAGGTTGGAGTGACTTTTCAAGTAGATTGGTTTGATCAGTTTAGAACAGTCCAGGGCTACTACTCTCAACTCAACTACATGTTATTTTGAAGAAAGACTCAGTTTGAGGAAATATTCAAGAGGAAAATGTTGGGAGTTTGATTCATGAAATTGAAAAAGACACACAATTGAGACTACTAATACTTAATTCTTCATCTACCACATTAACAACTCATCTACTGCTGCGTACTGACCTCCCTCTTTATGTGCCACCTCTGATGAAGGCACATAAGAGCATCAGAGGTGTGTTGTCTAACCAAAGATCTAGGTGAACTTTGCTCCTTGGACTTGGAGAGCTGTAAGACGGAAAGTAGTTCCTCTAGCACGAAACTGTGTGTGGAGCTGAAGACTCTTACATCGCTGATGACAGCGCAGAGGCTCTGCTGAATCCGTTTCAATCTCTCGACCAAGTCAAGTGGATTTGGACTTTTTAAAAAGCTTTTTACAAGCTCCCTCACTAGGTGGTTTGCTGTTACTGTCCTAACCTTAAATATCATGCCGCAAAGATCTTCAGCCTTCTGATCCTGAGCCCAGAACAAACCACGTGTCATTAATCGTCTTTTGGTTCTGCATTATAATATTTGATCGTTATTATCTTTTGGTTCTGCTGACACCGTGATGGATACAAAATGCCTGAACTGAAAGCTTTTCTCTCTTTTTTGGACTTAAATCTATTTTATCTTTGAGTAAAACGTTGTGCTTACATGGTGATGAGCTGGCAAGTGGAAACCTTATTGACTGTTAGCTGGATCTTTCGGTATGTTCACTATCATAGTCCTAATCTCATGGGTTGTTCTCTACGACCGAGCCATCCTCCCATTAGCTTTCAAGATCACCGGTAGAGATCAACATCAAGATCCGTATGGGGTTAGGACTCTTCATATCTTTCTTAGCAATGGTTGTTTCCGCAATTGTTGAGCATTACAGAAGGAGAACCGCCATAAGCCAAGGACTTAAAGACAATGCAACTGCTCAGACCCCGTCTCAAGATTTTAGAAGACCTAGTGCATTATGCATGTAAACCAATTTGGAAAAAGGACTTTAAATTTGAAAAACGGATTCTAAATTATAACTAAAATTGTCAAAAAAAAATTGGACCTTGTGCAAATGCACTTTGGACACAACCTAGAGATGGGCCTGACTGCTACAGTTAACATCTCAGCCATGTGGCTTGTGCCACAGTATGTGTTACTCGATTTAGCAGAGGCTTTAACTGGGATAGGACAGACAGAGTTTTTCTATACCGAGTTTCCTAAAAGCATGTCGAGCATAGCTGCTGCGTTGTTTGGTCTAGGAATGGCTGTGGCTAATATATTGGCTAGTGTGATACTTAATGTAGTGAAGAATAGCTCAAAGAAAGGTGGAGTGAGCTGGATTGAAGATAATATCAACAAGGGTCACTATGATTATTACTATTGGGTTTTAGCGGTCTTGAGCTTTGTTAATATTATATATTACGTGGCGTGTAGCTTGTCGTATGGTCCAACGGTGGATGAGGTGAGGACTGATAAGGTTAATGGTGTGAGAGAGGAGGAACAAGAAGAAGTTGTTAAAATAAATTAAAGATTCGTTTAGTTTTTATTGTTTATGATTTATGGTGTGTGTTATATATAATCTTTATATGATTGTATGTATGTAACTAGATTTATTATATATTTTTAATGATTTTGGATTTAGGAAGTAGAGGATTATATTAGTAGGTGTGCTTATTAGATTTCTTCTTCTTACAAAAGCCATTGTTGGTGTGTGTATGATATTTTGATTAAAGATAATCAAAATGTTCAAAATAGTCATATATGTTATGAATGAACTTGTGTTTGAGAAATTCACGTAAGACTAGAACCATTGTGTTTTGATTTTGACTCTAAGTGGAGCCATCCACAACCACTCATGGCTATGATTGAATCACAGCTGATTCTGTCCCTCCATTGATTCCTTAACTCTTTCTTCTTCCTCTACCTTTGGCTTGCAATTTATTCACTTAAAAAAAAAATTGTTCTTCATGATGATGAACAGAGAGTAACAGAGGAATATAATTAAGATTTACTATAATATAGCTGGTATTGATTCTTGACCTTGTTAAGTCAACCACAATAACAATTATTATATATCAATCTATGTGTATTACAAATCAAAGAACAAGATGCAAATAGTAAGAGGAAAGATCCATGGTTGTCTGGGAGTTTACTCTTGATGATCCAAAGATTTCTTTAGCTCTTTCTTGTTTACCTAAACCACATCAAAAGAATATGAGAATCGCTCTTACACCAAACAATAACCTCAAAAATATCATTGATTAAAAAAGGCTCTTATATTACCTTTCCCATGGCGTTGCGGGGTAAGCTCTCCCATATCAGCAAACGTGTTGGCAGCTGAGAAAACAGTCAAGAATATTATCAGCAAGATGGTGGATAGTTTTACAGACTATGTTTGTATTTTGATATCGCCTGGTCAAGGTTACCTTGTAAGGAGCAAGCTTGTCTTTAGCCCAACCGCAGAGTTCTTCTAAGGTCATCACAGGTTTTGACTCTTCTTCTCTTTTCATCTTTGCTCCAGTCTCTGCTACAATTATCGCTGTAACCGCTTCCCCATAATCTTTGTCTGGTAACCCCAACACACAACATTCTGCAACCGTAGGGTGCTGGCACAACACACAAACCAGAGATTTCAGTTTTACAATTAACTTCTCTCTGTTAACTTGGTTAGGACCTTATGATACCTTTCATGACCCAAAAATAAAACTCAAATTGATGTTAGTGTTACCTCGAGTAGGGTAGATTCGATTTCTAAGGCAGACAACTTGTATCCTCCAACCTTCATAATATCAGCGCTAGTACCTAATACACACCAGAGACGAGAATATATCAAGAGATGAAACACAAAGCTACTAATAAATTGTGTTTTGGATGTAGTTATGGTTTCTGCCTACGTCCTAGAATCACGTAATATCCATCCTCATCCACTCTACCAGCATCTCCCGTCTTGAAGTATCCATCTTCCGTGAATGATTCTTTGGTTACTTCTGGAAGATTCCAGTACTCCTTGAACAAAGATGGGCTCCTTACACAAATCTCACCCACTCCATCCGCATCATTTTCATCTTGTACAATCTTAGCCTATAATGTTTTCAGACATTTTCTGTCAGTATCACAGCTTCATATCTGAATATTGGTACCTTAGCTTTGTGGCATTAATTAAAAGGAGGAAGATCTTACTGACCTCCACACCGGGAAGTGGTTTGCCTACAGTTCCTGCTTTCCGTGTACCCCGTAGAGGGTTTGATATCGCCATTACAAACTATGAAATATTGAACAAAAATTGAACTAAGAACATATTTCTTAAAAGGTATTTGCATTCCGGGGAACAATGGCATAAATGTAACCAAAAGAGACAGGATAATCTACTTACCTCAGTCATGCCATATCGTTCCAAAAGACGGTGACCTGTGATACTTTCCCACTGATGCATGACCGGTCTAGGAAGAGCAGAGGAGCCACACATCTGTATATGTATTTCATCAGAAAACATGTTATAGCACCATGTGCACCAGAATTTGAAAACAGAATAGCCAAGGATATAAATGATAGCAATTAAGCTTCTCAGATATTTGGTTGCTTACCATTAGGCGAAGCTTCTGCGCAGCAAAAGCACTCGACTCTTTCGTTTCCTGATCCATTGCTTCATAACCTTGTATCAACCGAGTATACATGGTTGGAACCTATATATCACAACATTCACTTTTTACCAATTGAAAAAGCTAAATTCTTTCTCTTAAAGCTAATCTCTCTTAAATAAAACGTGATTGCTCTAAATATCTAAAGCTCAAGACGCAAAATAAGAAACTGGTCCAATCAGCCAATAAGACAATAATTATGTTACATAATATTATTGAGAACATTGGCTCTGAAAACTTTACCAACAATATAAACCTGTAATAAACTTCCTATATCAGATTCAAGAAAGGGCTCACGCAACATGAATCCCTTGGGGCGGGGACAGGTTTGAAGCTCGAAAAGTAAGTATTTAAGGAAGCAAAAACAAAGACTTACTCCAGTGAATACAGTTACGGCATCGTCGGTTTTCTCATCATTCACCGGGTATGATTCACGCCATCTGCGCCAGATTCCACTGACACTAAACTTAGGCAAAAACTCAACCTTCAAGGAAGAAAGTAAACATCAGTTACCGCCCTGTTAATTTCAGTAAGTTAATTTGAAATAGTTAACAAAAACATATATGGGTATATAAAATTACCGAAGACTGTGCGTAAAGAGGAGCAAACAAAGCATTAAAAAGGCCATGAACATGATGTAGTGGAAGGCAGTGGAGAAAGTGGTCAGCAGATGTGTACTCCCAAGCTTCAGTTAGCATTCTAACCTGCAACATTTACAAACTTCTAAGTTAAATCGTCATTTTCCCTTACCCGCTGGATAGACAGAGAAATCATTCTAATGCTCAGAAGAGATCACAATAGCTAAACATGACGTGAGCTACATATGGAGGTTGAATATATACCTGGGAATTGATGCTTTTGTGAGTATGGACAACTCCTTTTGGTTTACCAGTTGTACCACTAGTGTAGACGATCAATGCTGGATCATCTGTTCAAATAAAGACTGATGTGATATGGAAAAGACAGACTAATAACTGAATGTATGGTGGCAGAATTTGAAAGAGCGACCTTATATACACTTCATGGTTTCAAATATATTCAAAATCTTACCTAGAAGCTTTCCTTCTCCTTCAAAAGTGTCTTCTTGAAACTGATTGCGTGTAACAGTTTCAGAAGTTGAGTTAACAACGGGGGGAATCAGAAGAAACCGAGCATCACTCTTTGCTGCTATAGTTTTCATAGTTTCACTATGGTCCTCCGTGCTCAATAACACAGATATGTCCTAGAAACCAAGGACAACAGGATTATACCGCTTGAAATGTTAACAACTATTGTTACAGCGTTTATAGCACCATAAACACACACACTCATTTATTCTGGCTTGAATATGGTAAACGACAGAGCCAACCAGGAAAACAAGACCTTCAACTACCTTTTCAACTTTATTGAGCATCCTTACTAGTATCAGGAAAAAAACAACTGAGGCAAGAAAAGCACTAGCTTAAATTAACGATCAACGTCCTGAGCCACAGAATCTAAGATCAAGGATACCCAAGAATGACCACAACAGAAAGGGCAACAAACTAGCAGTAAGGATCAACATCTTAAACGAAGTAAACAAAGCACAAGAAAACAAGAAGACGTACCGAATTATTCATGACATATAAGAGTTCAGCCTCAGGATAGCTGAGTGCAAGTGGAACAGCAACGCCACCACTAAACCAAGTCCCAAGNTCTAAGATCAAGGATACCCAAGAATGACCACAACAGAAAGGGCAACAAACTAGCAGTAAGGATCAACATCTTAAACGAAGTAAACAAAGCACAAGAAAACAAGAAGACGTACCGAATTATTCATGACATATAAGAGTTCAGCCTCAGGATAGCTGAGTGCAAGTGGAACAGCAACGCCACCACTAAACCAAGTCCCAAGGACTCCAGCAACAAACTCAGCTGAAGGTTTCGCCACAATTCCAACTCTAGCTCCTTGAAGACTACCAAACCCTTCATACTTCCTCGTTTCACCTCCCTACAAAACAAAATGCAGAGAAGAGAAAAAAGTCAATAAATAGAAACCTATTAAGAGGTTTCAAGTTAAAAATTCCAACCAATAATTATACCTTTTCGTGGTGGAACATTTTAGATATTGTCAAGGCAGAGGATGTAAGCTGGCCATAAGAGTAACTCTTCCCATCGGATTTAATAGCTATCCTATCACAGGAATTAGACCCTTCTGACAAAACCGCTTTAAACACTTCCATGAGTGAACCAGATTGTGTACCTGCATCAGTTGATTACATAGATCATTTAAGGTTATACCGCCAAAACTACGTATAATCAAAAGTAATAAAAAATGCAAATTATATTCAAACAACAGATCCATATAAACCAAAGAGAAGAAGACTGTATTTTCTTGGAGAAGCTCAGAAATTTCAGATCAAAAGAACATATCTGAAGTTGGACGGGTGATCAAAGTTATATACCGAAAGCATGCATCTTTAAGACATTTCGTCGAACATGTAAGATGCGTTTAACGAATCCGAACAAAATAACGTGGAAACAAGAATCACCGGAAACAAAAATCGAATAAAGGGAACTTACAGAAGAGGTGGTTAGATCGGAAGAATCGAAACCCGGAATTCAGACACGAACTAGGTAGCTGAAATTGAGGAAGGTGACGAGAGGACAGGATTGTGAAGTTGCGGAGGTGACGAGGGTTAATGAAAGACAAGTAGTTGAAAGTCTTTAATGTAGCTTTCATTTTTGTAGGTTTGCAGTACTGTGTTGTTGTGGTCGTTAATTAACAAAAAAAAAAAAAAAAATTATTGAAATTCTTTTGATCAAAGATGTTTCCTTTTTGTTTGTTCGTATTCGTAAAGTCAAATGACGTAGCCGTTCATGTTAGCTAGGTTTCAGTCGCGAAAAATTAAAAGCCTTTTTCTTTGTTGAA